AGAAGCGTGCCGTGGTATTGATGTGTGACGGAGACTCGGAGTCAGATGTCGATGCGAGTGCTTCATATAAGTCGTAATTATTGCGGTCTGTCATCTAGGTAAAGGTTGTGATGTCGTGTTCTAAAGTTTCTAGTGGCTGTAATCTGAAGCCAATTTTGTTCAAATTTCTACAAAATTTTGTTGGTGTTGCTTTGCAAAACTTTTTCGCGCCGCGCAACACCAGTAGCGGCGCCCTCTGTCATTGCCCGTATCTGTGATATGCAGGTACCTTGGTTGGTTATATCCCTACCTTTTGGCTACCTCGCTTCCTCATCGGAGAGTCTCCCAGGGCCACTTGCAACGCTCAGCTCCCAAGATAACTCCGGATGGCCCCTTGCAATTTGGTAGCACCCTCTCCCAAGACCTGTTGGAGATTCTCCAGGTCATCACCAGCCGTAAGACCGAACTTTCGGATGAAATCCTTGGCAGCTGTCTCGATGTCGCCGTACTCCTCTGTGGCCTGCTCGTCCGGGCGACCAAAGTAGGCGTTGGAAGAGATAGACTGAGCTCCCTCAAAGCCTTGCAGCCGGTTCTTGGCCTCGGCCTGAGCGTTCGCGTCGTATGTGCCCTTACCGAAGAATTCGTCAGAGGAGATGGACTTCTGGTTGCCAAACTTGCTTCTTGCGAATCGCTCCTCATCTTCTGCTAGACTGTCAGTAAACGTTACAGATGCAAAGAACGACCGTGGGAGCCGTACCGGCAGAAGCCTTGATCGGGCCGACAGATCCGAAGCCACCACCCTTTTGTGGTGCGGCCGCAGCCTTCTTGGCCGCACCGATCTGACCGAAACCCAGACGTCCCATGCCCATGCCCAACCTTTCGATCTCGGAAGCCGACTTCTCGCGCGAGTGTGATGCGGCTCCGTAGCCTCCGCGCGGCGGGCTCACAGGCGTAGGGGAAGCGATGGTGCTAGGCTCGTTGATTGCTTTCTTTGCCTCTGCCTCCTCCTCATCAGGATTGTAGCCCAATTCCTTGATACGCTGTTCCTCCTCCTTGGCCTTCCTTTCCGCCTCGTCAAAGTCAATATCGGCGGCTGTGACGACCTTCTTGGCACCAAGCTTTGATCCCACTTTCTTGGCTCCCAGCACGTTGGCCTTCTTCGCGCCGGTGGTGGATTTCTTCAGCGCTGACGAGTGTGTTATACGGCCAGCGGCAGGCTTGGGTGCATCAGCGTCGGTCTTGGACAGAGGTGAGGCAGCGCGATTCGGACCGTTCTCGCCGGGCTTGAGGAAGGGCGACGGCGTGCGCCCCACGACTGGTGGGGTGGCGGTCCGCGAGATAGGCGGCGTTGGCTTCTTGATAGAAGGCTTGTCCCAGGAAGAGAAGAAGTCGTCGTCGGGTTCGCCGGCGGGCGTGGATGTGCCGTCAGGAATGTCGCCATCGGTGATGACAACCTCGGTCGGATACCTAGCTCCAGTCAGCATGGGCGTGATGAATTCCAGAGCGCATCAGCGACATACTCTTGGGCGTCCCTAGCTGCCCGCCTCTTGAGTTCATCCTTGTACTTGGTCGCGGCAGGAGACTGGTACTTTGTCTTGGGATCTTTGCTGTTCAGAGCGGCGGTTCCGCCGTTGGACTGGAAGAACTTGGTGGCAGACTCGTTGCCGCCAACTTTCATTACCCGGAGTTGATCCCATTGCCATTCTGGCCTGCGGTCAGTGAAGGACCGTGGTCATGTTGTTGTACTAGTCACTTACGATCGAGGTTGGTAGAGCGAACAAACGAGATGTGAACACCAAGATTACGATGATTCGACGAGCAGTCGAGGCAGAGGTAGATACCGAAGGGTACCGACGTCCATGTTGGATTCTTCTGGCCACAATCGAAGCAGATCTATCAAGTCCATCCCGTCAGCGATAGGCAATCGTTGCGAAGCTGCAGAACGGAGCTTTGCGCATTGTGGCACGAACCTTGTTAGCCTGCTTGGTCTTCAATTTCTCGAAGATCTTCTGCGACTGCTGCTTGGACGCGAGCGCAGCACTCATCTTGGCTGCCGGGGGCACCGGGTGCTTGATCTTTTGTAAATTAGACTAAAAGCTATAAGCAAAAGATGAGGCTTCGTAGTCGTACTCTAGAGCCTGCGGGTGCAATCGAATTGTCGGAGGAGGAAGGATGAATGCGTGGGCTCGAGGCTGAAGTAAGGGGGCACAAGGAGAAACGGACAGCGCAACGAATTTCCAGTGATACTTTGAAGCCCAACCAGCCCGTCGTCGGGGACGCCCTTGATTCGGTAATCTGACTAAGCCTGATGGGGACTAGCCTATTCCCGTCTCTGAAAGTATCTCCACAAGCCGACAAGGTGAGCATGGGTCGGTCTTCAAGCTTGAATTTGAGCCTCTTCAAATTCAACGTCCTTTTTCAACCACTCAACAGAGAAGTTTCTCACATTTTCCTGAAGCTCTGTCCTTTTTTCCATTGCTGTTGTGCAATCGAAATGTCACAGCCGCCAGGATGAGATTACTCGTACCCGTCTCGACCCTGCGACCGGCCACGATTCTTACTGGCTGTCACCCCGTTGCGCCCCTCGTCGTCCGCATAGCGAGAAATTATGCCAGTGAAGGCGGATCAGGCTCATCATCAGCCACTTCAAAACGTCGTGCGGTCACGCCTTTCAATGATGACGGTCACGTCCCTTGGACAGACCTGTCCGTGGCGGAAAAGTCAGCCCGAGCAGCCCAACAGACTTTCAATCTTGGGTTCATCGTAGTGGGCGTAGTTCTGACGGTACGGGCCCTCAAGATGGATTTCGAGTGCTGGCCGTTTGAGGGGTTTTTTGAGGCCAAAGCTAATGCATGAAACTCAGGGTGGAGTGGGATACGTTCTATGGACGGAGGTGTTCAGCACTGAGTCCAAGGTCACATACTTCAACAAGGCTGTGGACCGCATCAAGAAGGACCATCGGTGCCTAGAGCTCCTCGGAGACAGCAAGAAAATCGTGGCTCATGGAGAGGAGACATACAACAAATGGAGGAGAGCCAGGCCGATTTCGTACGTCTAGTGTTTTCTGCTGCGGCGAGATCATGTGAATTCTAGTTTTTGACACTGTGTAGATCATCTGAGACGACGGATCCTCAGGGGAATCAGCACCTCATGATGCAGTTCTATGTGAGATAGGTTTCCTTAATCCGAGTTTCGGTCATTGACTAACAAACAATTAGGTCGAGGGCCCACTCAACAAGGGCTCAGTCCAAATTCATTTGGTCAAGTACCGAGGCCACAGCGATTTCGAGTACAAATACTTCTTCGTGGACATCAAGGGCAAGCAGAGGATCTACTTGGAGAATGCGGATGCAAACTCAAAATTAGGTGCGAGTAGCAAAGGCTCGAAACTGTTTGGGATCAAATGGAGTTAGACCACCGGATCGTTCCTCAGCTTTTTCATGCTATACTGGAAACAATTGAGGGTCTCCTCCATCAAGACCCTATGATCGACAACAAAATAAGCAAGCTCTGTCATAGCTATCATCGGGGTGAAGAGCATATTGGCAAGCGTGAGCGCATTCACGTTGTGGGAACGAAAGCCTAGAATTCGCACCTATGGGTTCCGACTGACAAACTAAGCTGATATGAATATGACAATCAACTTGCAAGCTAACATCCCTTCCAGAAAAGCCCCCCTTCCCCCCAAAAAGACCGCCAGGAAAATGTATGTAATTGTATCAAACCTCCTCGTGCTCCCGGAAAGCCTTGTGTTCTTTTCAAGACTTTGTGCCACACATGGTTAATACCGAATCATCGTCATTTTGCCAAATGCTTTCATTGTATCTTGGGAGCAGCCAAACTCGTGCCTGCCGAGGTCGTGTCATCACCAGCCTCCTCATCCTCATTGATGTTAGTCGCGGGAGTCTTCTTCCGGGTAGCAATATGACTTTTGTGGACTGGAGCAGTGTCCCACCAAGATTTCCTCCAGGCAGCGGGGGCTTCGGGTTCGTATAGCACGCTTTCCATTGCATATTCGATCGCTTGCCTATTTATTGACCTGAAAGCACTTGATAAAATTCAAGTCTTATATTTATCACGGCCATGAGGTTGATGGGCCGTTGCCAACTTGCATCCCTTGGAAGTTGATAAGAGCTGCAACACATTCTGCTGTTCTTACGACAAACAATGGTGACTTTTCGGTTTCTTGTGAGCGAACTTGACGTAGTCAATATTTTGAACCCCGCTGAAGTTTTGCACCAGGTTTTCCTGGGTAGCAACCGCAACCATCGGGTCTGGTGAATTGACTTGTTGTGTCCATTGAGATTTGTTCTCTTTTGTGTTGCTTTGTGCTAAAGGCGACGCCACGTCTGCAATAGAAATGCAGCTGGTATCGAGTTTCGTAGTACCGTTGGGTAGTTACTATCGCAAATTCCAAAAGCTGTAAGCTTTAAAAATCAAGGAAAACTACTTTTTTTCCAATTCCATGGACATATTCAGGGCTTTAGCATCGCCAATCATAGTGTATACAATCTTTGCTTAAGCAAGGCCCTTCCTTCACCTCAATATCGAGCCTACTTATTGCACTGGTAAATGTAATTCCTGACATCACATGGGTACCTAGGTGTACTGAGTAATAAGTCAGGTATAGAGTCGGAAGCGGCGCGGGCTGGCTTTATACAAAGTATCGAAGTACCATTGTATTAGCCCAACCCTTACTTACATCAAGGAACTTGATTTGCCAGGTTAACTTACCCAAGTTTCTAGGTGAACCTGAGGATGAAAGTTGCGATGAATTGGCACCCCCAACGCAGAGGATATCTCAAGACTAATGCTGACATGTCATCGAAGTAAACGTGGATTGTATGTATGCCGCGTCGACAGCAGCTTGGGAGCACGAACCACCTAAAGTGGGTGGGTGTTCAGCTGCTGCAGGCGCACGCACGAATGTATGTATGGAAATGAATCATGCCTGAAAATGAACACCCGCGGATCGGGATAGAAATTAGAGACCATACAAGAAGAAAAAAAATCAAAAATTGAGGCCGTGCAGAGATTCGAACTCTGGTTGCCGGAATACACGATTTTGATGTTTCAAAATCCGGAGTGATTACCACTACACTACACAGCCCGAATTCCGATGGCTACGGGAGGCAAAAGTTGTTATTATATCCTTGTCAATTGTCTTGCTCCCTGACTCGATACCCCAAAGCCAAATACCGCATCCCAATCATCTGTGGCCGTAAATACCGTACTGTCGCATCGAAAAATAATGATGAGAAAACATCTATATCATTGTCTAGGAGAAGGCAATTTCTTTGCAAGTTTTAGAGACATTCCATTCTATCACAAGGCTGTGCTTTGGATCTTCTAGAGACCACGCGGTTTCGATCCCGCGCTTGACCCTTTTCCATTTGTTCGCGTTTCTACATTTACATCTCTCGCCAAAGTTTTACTGCAATATTGTGACTGTCTATATCGCTTCCATGGCGCAAATTTCACTTCGTCGATTGTAATGAATTTCCTATTCACTCCGACCTGCTTTCTTTTGTGCGCAGAAATACCGATGTCATGGGCATTCGAGGCCTCACCAATGTGCTGAAGCAATATGCTTCGCGGGAGGAGCTGTGCGGACGTGTCGTGATCGATGGCCCAGCCATGGCATACCACATCCTGTGGATCGCGCGCCACAACGTCGCAACCATACTCGACGAGCCTCCATATTCACTGCTGGCCGCGACTGCGATACAATGGCTTAATCGCCTTGAGTCCCATGGGCTTGAAGTGTGAGTCCTGCTGCGAATAGCCCTCAGCCTGGCGTGTCTACATACCGGGATGCTAATCGACAAAAGGGGCGCAATTTATTTTGATGGCTCCCTGCCAACGTCTAAAAAGGAGGAGCGCCACAGGCGAATATGTGAGAGATCACACGAAGCCCAGAAGTATTTCCTGAACACGATCTCGGGCATCAAAGCCAATGGTCAAGTGCCAAAGCGTTTCGTGCCCGACCCGACATTCCACGTTCCCGCAATTTTGGAAGGCTTGCACTCGCAGGCAAGGTACCGAGATCTCACTTACCTCGTCCCGGGCGAGGCAGACCCCTACTGCGCCGCCGACGTGAAGCAGAACGGTGGCATCCTCCTTACTTCGGACTCTGACTTGCTGCTCTATGATCTTGGCCCTACAGGCAGCGTAGTCTTCCTGAAAGATCTGCAGCTTGACCTTGGCGCTATGGGAGAAGCCAGCTCCATCTCAGCTGTGGTTAGCAGGCCAAGCGAACTCTGTCGACGGATGTCGCTAGAGCAGGGCCAAGCAAGCATGCTACGATTCGGATTTGAAATGAAAGTGCGTCCTTGTTACAATCTCAAAGGGTTGCCACACCAATCGGAATGGGCTTATTTGGAGGAAGCCTATGACCAGGAATTTGCGGCCTTCATCAGGGAGTATGATGGGTCCCCGGACCTAAGCAGCACGGCACTCGATCATAAGAGCTTCCTCGACCCTAGGATATCCGAGTTCGTTCTGGATTGGTCGAAATTGGGTACAAGCAAGGATCCTGCGTCACCAAAAGGTCTCACGGTCTGGCTGCCATCACTTGTCGATCGTTGGGATCGAGCGAGCGCATGGGATCTAGGGACGACAATACGGCAATTGGCGTACAGTCTTTATCAATATGGCGATAGCTCGAGATTTACGGTGATGGAGTATCGCAGAACATTGTCTACAAGGTCCGCGGGACAAGCAGTGGAGGTTCTTGACGAGCCTGATGTCTTGGAGGCAACAGCAAGTCTGCTAGAGCACGTTGACCGGTTCATCAAGAACGCCACGGTGCCTAGAAGGCTACAGTGGATCACGATGTGCCTCAGCTTAGAGATTGGTCATGCCGCGCAGGAAAATAAAGAATCTAACGCTCTGGGGCTCTGGCGAAAGGCTGCCAAGGCTGAAGGTAGACTGGACCCGAGCAATTGGGATGCTGTTCACCTCACAGCCCAGATCCTGGGGACTCTGTATTCGTTGCGCATTTTGCAGCAAGTCCTGAGCATTTGGAAAGGAGGTTCTTTATTAGACGCAGTATCGAGCGACCAGGTGAAGAGGCTGCAGACACGCCTATCTACACTGCCAACTCTTGCAGAATTTCCAGCTGCGACGGAGATGGAGGAATTGTTTGAGCATTTGCACCGAGAAGGACAATTAGATATTATATCGGAGGCTGTGAGAGTCCCCACGATAATCTTCAGAGCAAAGGGTGAAACATCGCAGAGGTTGAAGAATAGACAGCCTAGGGCGAAAAGACGGGAACAGAAGCCCACCAGAGCGAGGGCGCCGCATTCACAGGCGTCGGCCAATCCATTCGAGGCATTGAGCCCGGGGAATTGAAATTAGACATTGAAACCCCCCCCCCCAAGTCGAGATACTCCTCTTGAGTTGATGTTGTTTGGTACAGGTAATTTCTATCTGAAGGTGTAGGTAAGTAAAGTGACTTGGCAGGCTGTGCTGTCCTCGCTTTGACCTGTCTGTATCCTTTTGTTTCTGTTTTCGAGGACCCAGGGCGGGGGGAGAAAATATAGTTCGTGAATAGAGGGGCGGACAGCCCTGTGCAGCTCGTAGCTCAATGCTGTGTCCTGCCTGCCCCCGCAACACAAAAAAGGTCCATTCCAGTTTTGCCAGCTCCACACCACTTTCAGTCAAAAACTCGTCTCCCCCCTCCCAACCACACCCGAATTTTCTCGTCATGCGCAATACACTCATCTTTTCGGGCTCCTCATGCGAAGCTCTCACCAGCAAGATATGCGGCAATCTGGGGATGCCGCCGGCTGAGGCGGAGCTGTCGCAGTTCTCCAATGTGGGTGCATTTGTCGTTGTCGCTGTCGCCAGGTCGCGTCGCCGTCGCGATGTTTTGATCCACGAAGCTCACGAAGGGGCCTTTTTTTTTCTAGGGCGAGACAAGCGTCAAGATTTCCAACAGCGTCCGTGAAAAAGATGTCTTCATTGTACAGTCTGGCAGTCCTAAGATCAATGACACCATTATGGAGCTGCTCATCATGATCTCGGCATGCAAAGGAGGTTCCGCCACCAAGGTCACAGGTCAGTCTGGTCTAGTAATCGCATGTGCTTCAGCTGCTCTGTGGTTCCACTCTGCTAATGAAGCGCTGTAGCTGTCCTTCCATACTTTCCATACAGCCGACAGTCTAAGAAGAAGTCCCATAGGGGTGCTATCACTGCAAGACTGCTGTCGAACCTCCTGGGCATCGCCGGTGTCAAGCACGTAATCACCGTCGACCTGCATGCCTCCCAAATGCAGGGCTTTTTCAAGTGCCCTGTCGACAACCTTCACGCCGAGCCACTCATTGCCCGATGGATCCGTCACAATGTGCCCAGTTGGCGAGAGGCTGTCGTAGTGTCAAAGAACGCGGGTGGCACAAAGCGCGTCACATCCCTCGCCGATGCTTTGAAGCTGAATTTCGGCATGGTCACCACCGACCGGAAACGAGGTGGTGGAATGACACATAGCATGCTGCTCAACCAGCTGGAAGGGTTGGAACCGCTCGAGCCCGCTGCAGTTCGTATCGCGAGGAACAGCTTCGTCGAGCCCATCACCCCGACCGCTCGCTCCCGTCTTGTGCGCCCCGTTGCCGAGGAAGATCGGCAGAGCCCCCCACCCGAGTCCAGTGACCTGCGAGTGCAGACCAATGGTACAAATGGCGACCAGAGCTCGCCACGGACCCCTTCCTCTGCGATCAGGTCAACCTCCCAGGGTGAAACTGAAAGTCACGATTACAATGACGAGCGAGCTTCAGAAGTCACTCATGGCCGTCTTGTCCAAGGTCACATTGTGCCTGATGACTTTCCATCCCCGGCAACATCAGCTGCAGACACCACGATTCCAGACGAAGATCCTATGGCTCAGTCTCAAGCCTCGTCCTTTTTCACCGGACCTGACGGTCACGCCTTGGGAGGGTCCGGCGACGCAGTAGAAAGCTCCGATGATGAAGAAGAGCAGCTGAAAGATCCAAAGGTTGAGCACATGATCACTCTCGTGGGTGACGTGAGGAATCGCACGGTTTTAATCATCGACGACATGATCGACAAGGCCGGGTCCTGGATCGCGGCTGCCGAGACTGTGGTGAAGAGAGGCTTCGCTAAGAAGGTCTACTGCATCGCTACACATGGTGTCTTTGGTGGGGACGCTCTCGAGCAGATGCAGCGTTGCGAATGCATTGATGCTATCGTTGTCACCAACAGCTACCCCATCGGTGAGGAACGGGCTAGGAACGCTACCAAACTCACAGTTCTTGATCTCTCCTACCTTCTTTCCGAAGCCATCCGGCGCAATCACTACGGCGAATCAATCAGCCCACTGTTTCAACACATACAGGACTAGCATTCCCACTTCCAGTACCAGAACAGTTCGGATCACAATTTAAAACTACCCTTGAGGCTCTGCTTCGGGTTATCGGGACGCGGCAGACTCAGAAATTATTACAGCGTGGCGTCAAGGTATTTGTACGGGCATCGGATTCAGGCGTCTCGGATAGGTTTGAAGCACTTTGTCATCATGTATAACTACCAACACAGGTATCAAATACGACTTCATCACACTTTCAGACCGTGATGTTCGTGGCTTGCAGCTTATACAACGTACTTGAGTGCATTCTTTTTCTTTTCTTTTCTTTCCAGCGTTGCTACCCTTTGGTAGCAGGGGCTCAATCCGCTTTCCCATGGATGAGTCTTTAACGGACCGTTGGTATATCGACCCGTTCTAGAAGGCCCGCTATTCTGGCGTCTCGTCGCTTCTTCGGAAGTGTGGACAGCGGGCAAGATAACAACTCGGAACATATCTACTTCTGTGCTTCCACATTTGTCACATTTTACTCGGAGCCTTGCTCCTCCACAGGATCGTCTCTTAGGATTATACTTCTCCTCGCAGCTTTCACGCACCGGCCGCGTCTATTTTAGGGCCGTTGATCACAGCTTGTATCCAGCATCCATTGCGGTGATGAATGACTTGCGGTCCACCTGTCATCCTGTAGGTCTATCGAGGTACAAATTTCGACGCCTCAGGCTCAGACATGGAGACCCGTGAGTTCATTCACGCCGTAGGACCCTGAAAAATTAATACCAATTGTACTT